TTTGATAAAATTCAATTTCACTTATCACACACGCTCAAAAAGAAGTGTAAACAATTGTATAAGAGGTGAGTTGGCCACTTGTAGGATGAGTTATTAGAGACATATATATAACTTTTTTTCCACATGCTGGCGGAATCTTCAAAAAAACACGCACTTTTCGTCTCTCGTCGCATCGTGTTCTCTTGTTTTTCAGTAAATTTACATGTCAGTCTCCAACTAACACCTGTTCTGTATTCGCCCCTATATAAAGTGGACGCAACTTTGCCAAAATACGGGATCATCCGGAAAATAACGGGAATGTACCGACCAAAGCGACACCTGCTGTCATAATATGAAACAACAAATTATTGCAACTCGCATTATGCTTACTGCCAACTGCTTAGTGCGTACTGTCACATGCGACTATAATATCGTTATCGTTGTCATCTTCGTTGTTGATGCGCAGTGATCATGTATTTGCATTGTATTTGTAATCAGTGAATATATTTGAAGCATGTGAATGCTAAGACACATCAAATCAGCCAATTATTGATCAAAATGAATAGTTTAATTTGACATAATGTCGACAAATTAAGTGGCAGATTTATAGCAAATTAAAGATACAACTACCATGTTACATATAGTTGTAAAGAATGTTATCTTAAACACCAAACATAATACGTTGTCCTTAAAAAAAGATACAATTAAACATATAGCATATTAAAATATGTGAGTTTGATGGTTTAGTAGGGAACACACAAGGTTGCAATTACAAAATAAAAATATTTTGAAAATATTTTAACGATTGAAAAAGTTGAAGTCCCTTACTTCTTAACCAAGGTTATAGGTAAACTTGCAGTTGAAAAATACAAGTATCAGTATATATTTTCAAGATTAATTACAAAGGTAGTACTTATATATCTAAATATCTAATCAACTTAATTCCTAATCAGTTACAAATTATTTATCATTTAATGATTAACGTGTCGTTGCCCTGTCCTTTTTATGTTTGGGGTCCGCCTGGGCTCCTTGCCATTGGTTCTTGTTGCTGGGTCATATGGGGGTTGCGTTCATTGAACGCCGCCTTTCCTTGTTGATCTTGTTTATCATATTTTAACACAAGCCAGTGGACGAGGACAGTACTACTGTCGTTCATAAGCAGGATTTCAACACCCTAGCCTGAAGCATTTTAGATTTGGCTCTGTTGGACTTTCTTAATGCATGTATCTCTGTATAATTTTTTTGTTGCAAACAAGAGAGAATTACAAATATAATCCCGAAAGAGAGTCCAAAACGGCAAAATTTAAAATGTTGCATGCTCGGTTTGATTGAGCCTATTCATGGACGGTAGTGTCAAGTGCAAACTACCGCCCACGCCTCCTTGCTACGGGAAAACAATTGGAGGAACTAAACAAAATTGAATTGGAAAGGGTATCAGAGGTAACATGTACACTAGAAAAGGTGACATAAACATTATCTCAATGAATCACCCCAAGTATTTTAAACAAATACTCACAAAAAAGCATCGCAAAACAGTTAGTTACGAACTAACTGAATTAATTCATTTAAAATGCATTTTAATATGACCATTCAAATGTAAGCGCTGTAGTTGCCTCCATCAAAGACTACTAGAAACAAGCAATAATCAAAATATTGCAAACAGTACAAAAGTCCCTTATCTGTTGGAGCCCAACAAGAATTTTGTCAGCAACGTTCTGAAGAGTCATGACCATTCAATTATGCCATTGTGGAAAATGAATAATTTAATATTTTGAGTTCTTAGTTTGTTTGTATCAGTCATGTCTAATACGCTTTCATGCATAATAAGTGATTATGCATATACAACAGATCATGAAAAACTCAATTTTCTCTGGATGAATATATACAACCATTGTTTAAACTTTTTCTCTATTTAATTTAAATTTGTTGGAAAAGTTCAAAGTTTTTAAAAGTGAAATGAGGAAACAGACAGACAAGCCGACAGACAAAAGGCAAATCTTAAAACATCCTTGGTTGTACTAGTAACCAAAATACATTTATAACATTTTCAAAGCACAATTCTCTTGATAGCTCTTGAAATAAAGATGCTGGGCTTAAAAACTTTACCATACATGATGTGAGTGATATCAGAGAACATTTATCAAAGTCTTATATTTCAATTTTAGTGACAAAGAAGACAAGTGAAAAAAATTGTTAAATGAATTTCAAGTTCAAAATGAAAATTATTTTGGAAACACGGGGGCAGTAATTTTAAATGTAATCACATATGACACAAAATCATATTTAAAATATAAAAGAAAATCCCTGAAGAAAAGAAAGTTATGGAATAAATAAGGATCCGAAACTTTTAAAGTTTATTAATCGGTTATAATTCTGGAAACATAGGCGCTAGATTTATAAACCTTGCCATATCATTATGATGTGGAAATTAAGAATTTAAAAAGTCTGGGGATAATAATTTCTAGAAAAAAAACGTTCAAGGGGGACATCATCCTAGATATAGTCAAACTAAAGTATTGAATCTTCTTACACATGATGTGAGTAATGATAAGGATCACATATTTTAAGTTTGTGGCAGATACCTAAAGAAAAAAATTAGTTAAGGAAAAAAAAAACCACATTTATTTTCCCAAACATTCTTAGTTCAAGTATGATGGTTCTTATAAAAGGTGCTACAGATATGAACCTTGCCATCTATGATGTGGGCGATGATCAGAAACATATATTTGAATGTAGATCATAATTGTCAGTCGTAATCATTGACATTATCATTACCATTATCATCATCATTTGCCTCTTTTCGCCGATTCGGATACCATATTGGATAAGAGTCATTCACTATCTATTATCCTTTTCTACAAGAAGACTGGATAGTTGGCTTAGATATAATATTATGACTAAAATTGTGTTGAAATTGGTGGACAAAGTAGAAAAAAATAAACTTTTTTTAATTAGAATTCTGTGTTCAAGGGTATAAATTCTGGTAACTTGGGTGCTCAAATTGTGAACCTTGCCATATATGATAAATCATGATCTGAAACATATACTTGTACTTGAAATTTGAAGAAAACACCTAACGAAAAAAAAGACCTTGTAGTGAAAATGATTTAACTGCGTTAAAATGTTACTATGATCGCCGTTGCTGGGTTAGAAGGGCAGCTCAAATTAACTCCCTTTCTTCATACGTATTTCTATCCATATTTTCAGCTTCATTAGAAATATGTTCAGTATATATAGAGTTATCACTTATATTGCTAAATGAGTCATAATATCAGTCTATTTGTTGCCATAGCAACCCATTTTTCAAAAAAGGAATACAAAAAAAATATAAAAAGAAGAAAAATCGTGCATAATATCAAATCTGCTTTCTATTTTATTGTAAGCGGGGGGGACGGAGGGAAAAACCCAAATACCCACCGATTTAAAAGTTAGGGGGGCTTAAACTATTTTTTTTAAAAAGTATAGTTTCATTTTAAAATCATTTAACTTATTACAAAAAGAATTATTATGCTTTGACACTAAATTTAGGCTTTTATTCAAAAGGGATAGTAAAAAAATTGCCTTTTTAAAAAACTTTGAAATATAAAATAGATTTTTTGTAAGGGAATGGTGTACAAACAAATATTTCCTTTACAATGTAGAAATATGTTATACAATTCAAACTGAACCCTTACCTTAAGAAAGTGATTATCAACACTGTTGACATGACTATCACCTACTTGTCCTACCTTAACACGGTATTTTGTTATCATAAATCAAATATCTACCAGATAAAACTTGATCAATAAAATGTACAGACAATCGCTTTATCTTTTCCGCCGTCTATTATTTATTAAATCACGCGTTTTAAGGTACTTAATACGTTCAAAAGTATGATGAAACAAAAGATAATAAATGTCTTTCAAGGCAGTTTTTCAATACATTTTAAGCGATATTCATAGATAATGACGTTTGTGGATGATTATTAATTTTCAATATATTTAAATACCAAATAGAACAACATTATGACAAAACATGGCGCCTTTTTTCTACCGGTTCACTGACTATTTACACTTGGATGGGCATAATTCCACTTTCAGTTATTAAAATCAAGATTGTTTCGTACATTTAGCTGTCATCATATAACATGATATGAACAAAGAAAAGAAAAATTACGAGTTTAAGCAACCATCATCAGGCTTTTTGTATCTTATTACATTTAATATTTGACATGTATTTTTGCTTTACGAAATAATTGTTATCGATATTGGATTTGTTATCAAAAGTAAGATGGTTGTTTAAATGTAGAAATAAAGTAAAATCATCAGAACGTCAAATCCGAACTGTTGCTCACTCATTGTTATAAAAATAAAATTAGTCAAAAATATTTATGAATTTTGATCAAATAAATACAATACGCCCAAAGGATGATTAAGCGATTTGCATTTCACATTTTTTGACGAAAAGTTACGTTTATAGTGATGGTATATATGTTTATTTTTTCAGATATGTTTATAACACATTTGTATTATTAAAAATATTATTATATCTAACAGTCAAGTATTTATTAATTTACGCCGTATGCAATTCTGCTAGATGATTAAAAATAATGAAAATATATGGCGAAGAATTATAATGTTGTTTTCCTTAGAAAAAGGTAAATGTTCTAACGGAGTAAAATCGAAGTATAATTTCTTACTCTGTATATTTCCTATCTCCGCATTAGTCTATGTTTCATTCTCCCAACGCATCAGTGAACGTCCTCACACATGAACACTTACGTCAAACGATATTCTATACTGGTTTGTCACTGTCTGAAAAATATGTGCTACTAACTGTTTACTTAATAAAATGAATATTTTTTATGTCAATTTTTAAAAAAAAATATAGACATGCGTGTCATTGAATGGCTCTTAGATTTTATATACTGATACGAGTAGTAATCCAACGGTACTTCTTTGTTTTAATTAATATCTAAACAAATACTGTTCTATAAAGTATAAGATCCAAAATTAATGATTAGATTTATTCACAATAGTTCTATTAAATTTACAAACGTTTTTCGGTAGCGATCTGTTGGTTTGGTGGACATTTTAAGATGGAAAATATATAGAGGTACTACATTTTCTTTCTTTTTGTAACATCGTTTAGTAATTGTTTGGTTTTATACTTTTAAAAGTTTAAAAAAACACATATTGACTTCATTAAGCGGCCATTAACTTAAAAGTTTAGAAAAATTATCATCACCATGTAGGTATCAGGAAAAGTTCAACATTCTAAACAAATGATAAAACCAATAGAAATGTATCAATTGGATATTATTTTAAAATATTACTTAAAAGAAATTGATAGAATGTTAAGTGATTTAGAATGAACATCTATATGATGAATGATATTTTGTTTTTTTTGGACAATTGATTATAAATTAGAGAAAGATATGTCACACTTTCCGAAAACATCTATATGATTATTTTCGTGATTTGTTATGTAAAATACTAAATACTAGTTTCATTGTAATTGCTTAAGTGGTATCAAACGAGAAGTCTGGACAAACTTTGAAGATAAACAGTATTAAAGGGCCATTACATTAAAAAAAATCAAAGAATTGGAAAATACTGACGATATGCACAACTAGACTTGGAACTGAATTATCCTGTAAAGTATGAAATTGCGCTTGTAGTTTTGATTAGTATATCAGCGGCCGCTTAATTATTACACGGTTAGGGGTAGTGTCGTTTGAATCACATGTGCGGTCTTATATTTACTCTAAAGTAATTAAATTATATACCATTTGATTTGAATATAAATTCCGCATCTAATGGTATAACTTTTGTGGAAATTCATTAATTTTCTAACAAAGGGGAATGTTTTAAAAGGATGGATGTATTGTAGAAATTTTTATCATGACAACCATCAATATGAATAATTAAAGTTTTGTTCTGATAAATATTTTTTTAAAAGCTTTAGAACTTTTTAATCTGTTTAGATAATTGTAATTACGCTTAGTGTTTAAGACAGTTGTGATTTTAAATATTGATAAAAGCTATGCATGTTTGTTTTGTTTTGTCAGGGATGTAAATAGACACACAATGATGTATCATTTCTCCTTAATTTAGAATAACATTATCTTAACAAATTGAATACAAGTTAAAACATTAATGGTTATCAATAAAGTAAGATCAGATAGAGCTGAATTGTATAAATTGTATTAGAAGAATAGAGCACGTGTGTGATTATATCGGACCGACGTAATAACGGTATCACCTTTATAATCATGCGTACGATCTTATACTTAATCAAACTTATTTGAAATATGTATTATAGTATAATTTAATTTCCGAAATCAATTTTGCGTCTAAATGTGTCTTCATCTGAAGGTTCATGCAATCTTCTTAAATGTTTTAATGTTAAACAAGTTGAAAAAATGTATAAACTGCCCGTGATTGTGGAGCCGTTGGTTTTATTATATTTAACCAAAACATACTTGAATTTAACATTTTGTTTTCAAAATGAATTGTGCCAAATAATTATCTTTCTTTCTTACACAATTATACTTTTATTAACCAACAAACAGAAGATTCTTGTCATTATACTTGTTTGTTTTGAAAAAAATCCCATTTATTAAAGAATTATGTTTTAACCAGATTAAAATTATCAGTGTCATATCCGGATGAATGCGTGTTGTATGCACAATATGCATTAATACATGGCGGTGTCAATTCTCTTAAAATCGCTAGGCATGAAGGTTAATTTTGCATTAAAACAAAAGCATACCGTTTGAAGTGTTCGTCAGTCTTTTCATTATCTGTTCACAATCAATATCGACAAAAAGGTGTGTCAGAAATTCTTATATAAAAGCTCATTATTTATCGCCTAAACCTTTTACCACCTGATCAATCTAACCAGCCCAGTGGTTATTGTGTTCCCTTGTTATCTCAAACATATAAAGATCGAGTCCATGACTCAGCTGACGTCGTATTTCATGTCACATAATGTATTTTATCACACACCCGTGCCGAATTTGCGACTCCGTAAATATGGTATTGCACGGCCGTGCATATATTTTGACGTGACGTCATTAGCGTTATACAAACATAGTGTAAAGACGCGCTAAAAGTTAGCGTTTTACTATAGCGCGTCAATGAAAAATGACTCTTATTTCACTTTAAACGGTCTTTATTTTGGGTATGTGATTAATAGAATATTAAATGCGTGTAAGTTTATTACTGAATGTATTGCACTCGTTGGATAATAATGCTCGCCAGAGGCTCGCATAATATGATTTATTTAACTCGTGCAATAAATTCAGTATTGAACTTACACTCATTCAATATCCTCTATTTCAAAGTGATATGATAACGTGATATTTCCGGTTACTGCATATGGCGCAGCTATTTGGGGTATGGCGGTACATGCAAAATAGCGCCGACATAGTTACCACCAATTGCTAGTTAGTAGAGATGTTAATAATTTTATTGTATTTAAGGCCTAAAAAATACGCTGTTTCGGGTAACCCGACCCTTCCTATAAAAATGCGCCTACCCTTACTATTTTTTTCCGTTTCTGAGCAAAAAAATATATTCGTTAGCGAATAGAGAATTTCAAAGGCGGATAAATGCGAATTGAACGCTTGAGACGCTGTCGTAAAACGCTCAGACGATTTAGATCGGTCATTTTTTGTTATACGTTTTTTGATTGGCTCGTTGTGTATTGCGGACCAATGAATATCACGCTATTGGAAACTAGTAGGTATGACAAGCAATATGGCGGAAAAATGACTCTATACAATGTCCGTCTTGAACATAGACTTTAATGCCTCTCAGCAATGTCGTGTTAATGAAAAAAATCTGTCTTGTTAGCTTGCAGCTTGTGTTTTAATATTGACTCCGACATTAAATTCAAACTTCGACCAAATTAGCACCATTTATCTTTGACAGTACCTTCATTTTTTGAAAGGAAAATTTCCAGCAACCCATCGAGGCATCCTTTCTGGCTTTCCTATTTCGAAAAAGACATTTTTGGGTCCAGCACGCGGAAACAGCGCATCTCCGCCGCATGTTGGCATTTCTGTCTATGAATATTCCGTCCACTTAGGGGTAAATTTTATTCAGGCCTGTTCAGTTATCTCGATATGTTAACAGATTAAAATACGATAAAAAAGATCAACAAGGAAAGGCGGCGTCCAATGAACGCAACCCCCTTATAAAATTCTGGAAACAAAGTGATCCCTCGGAAGCATTAATCACAACAAAATAACATAAGAATTGCAGACTCGGTTTAATTGAGTCTGTACATGAGGGATAATAAATAAGTGCAACATCCCTCACGCCCCCTAGCACCGGCTTGAGCGGTACTCAATTCTCAACACTTTATAGTGTTGGCATCAATGATCCCGAAGGACCAGAAAATATAACAACACTGAAGTGAAGTACGGGGCAACTTTTTACGGCTGCCACACGGCACTTGACACCTGCTGTTGTGAAGTACAAAATTCTGGAAACAAAGTGATCCCTCGGAAGCATTAATCACAACAAAATAACATAAGAATTGCAGACTCGGTTTAATTGAGTCTGTACATGAGGGATAATGAATAAGTGCAACATCCCTCACGCCCCCTAGCACCGGCTTGAGCGGTACTCAATTCTCAACACTTTGTAGTGTTGGCATCAATGATCCCGAAGGACCAGAAAATATAACAACACTGAAGTGAAGTACGGGGCAACTTTTTACGGCTGCCACACGGCACTTGACACCTGCTGTTGTGAAGTACAAAATTCTGGAAACAAAGTGATCCCTCGGAAGCATTAATCACAACAAAATAACATAAGAATTGCAGACTCGGTTTTAATTGAGTCTGTACATGAGGGATAATGAATAAGTGCAACATCCCTCACGCCCCCTAGCACCGGCTTGAGCGGTACTCAATTCTCAACACTTTGTAGTGTTGGCATCAATGATCCCGAAGGACCAGAAAATATAACAACACTGAAGTGAAGTACGGGGCAACTTTTTACGGCTGCCACACGGCACTTGACACCTGCTGTTGTGAGTCATGCAGTTGAAATGCTGCTGAACGTGGTGCTACTAAGGGGCTATGAACAGCATGCATGTTATACTCCTTTCATTTAATACTGCTTTGATATGTAAAAATGCATTAAAACCAAGTCTGTTATTTTCTATCTTTCATTAATTTTGTTTTCATTGCTTTTAATATTTAAAAATTTGAAAAGCTGTTTTGATGTGTAAAGCTTTTCCAGTATAATTTTTCATCCTCTTTTGCATACTGAAACAAATTTTTAGCCGGACTTGGAGTCTGACTCTGTACTGTGCATCATTTTGTTTCATACCATCACAAATGTATCCCGTTTTCCATGTGTTCTTGAGATCTAATCTTTGCTTTTTTCAGATGGGCCATGGATACTTTTAGACGACACTTTGAATGACATCTACGAAATGCAAATCCATCAAAAAGCTTGACTATTGTCTATGACTATTCAGTGTTGTTATATTTTCTGGTCCTTCGGGATCATTAATGCCAGCACTATTAAGTGTTGAGATTGAGTACCGCTCAAGCCGGTGCTAGGGGGCGTGAGAAATGTTGCACTTATTCATTATCCCTCATGTACAGACTCAATCAAACCGAGTCTGCAATTCTTACGTTATTTTGTTGTGATTCATGCTTCCGAGGGATCACTTTGTTTCCGGAATTTGATATGTTGACATACATGTATCAGATAGAAAATAAACAGTATTTGATTGACAACGGTGTCTTTTTACAAAAAGAAGTGTTTGCACTCTTTATGTGAACCAGTGAATCAACAGTGCAATTAAAACTTATAGATTTTGTTAAATTGTACCATAGTGTCAAAATATACACTTTGTAATACTGTAAAAGCTTCAAAATGTCAGCACTACAATTTTTAATTCAATGAAATGTGCAATATTTAATGCATGGATATCAAATAGTTAAAAACAGAATAAGTCTAGATTTTTTAACTAAAACTTTGAAACCCTGATCACAGCAAGTCATTTTAGCCTTTTTATTGTGCTTAACTCCTACTATGCTAGCAGAGGATTGATCTGCCCTTTGCAACCAACGTAGACTCAGATCAGCA